AGGAAGGATCTCTCTCAACCTGATAGGAGACATCTATGAAAAATCTACAGCTAACATCATACTTAGTGGTAAAAGACTGAATGCTTTCCCCCTTAGATCAGGAATAAGACAAGAATGTTTGCTCTCGCCATTTCTATTGAACATTGTGCTGTAGGTTCAAGCCAGGGCGATTAGGCAATAGGATGAAATAGGCTTCCAGAATGGAAAAGAAATAAACTATCTCTTTTTGCAAATGGCATGATTGTGTATATAGAAAATCCTAAAGAAACCACTAGAAAATGATTAGAAATAATAAATGAGTTCAGCAAGGTTGCAAGATCAATATACAAAAATTAGTTGTGTTTTTAGAGTAGCAATCAGCAACCCAAAAATAAAATTAAGAAAATAATTCAATTTACAATAGCATCAAAAAGAATAAAATATTTAGAATTAAATTTAACAAAAAAAGTTCCAGATTATACATTGCAAACAAGATTATTACAAAGAAGAGTTTGAAGCATTTCCCAAAAAGCAACTCTTGGTTTTACTTGTCTTATCACCTGTCTCTTGCAAATGTCAAAGATTGATATATAGTTCTAGAACTTTAGAATTTGCCAAGCAAGTCAGTTTTTTTCTTATTTTATTCTTTCCTACCTGGGGTCATCAGTCCCATAACCAATTTCTTGCTTCTCTTTGGTCATTTTTACATCAAGGAAGCCAAGTTTCTAATCCATGGTGAATCTTGTTGGGGTAAATCAATTCAGAGTGGTTAATGAAGGAAAATGGTTTCTTGCAACATCTTATTAACCGACTAAATACCTTTGTAACTTGGAGGAGTAATCAGCAACCAAAACTGGGTCTGAGAAAACAAAAGAGGCAGCCAACACAGGCCAGAATGAACTGTTTCTTGTGTGCAAACGATATAAATTTTGTGACTTAACATTTCTCCAGGAGTTGCTTTTGTGGTCATTTCACTTTGAAACTTCTGGTATTCTGTGGAAATTAAGAAAAATGTTCTGTATCCTAAGTTGGCTTGGTTCTCCTGACACCAAGGTTAATTTCTTGATTTAACCCATCATTATCAATTCACTGGGTGTCAGTTATATATTTCTGGCCTTCTGGTGTGTGTTGAAGCCCCAGTCATGAATGGGATATAGTTCTTGCCTTTAAGGAGCTTTCAGTCCACTCTGAGAGATAGACATATAAATAGATAACATACTGTACAATATGGAAAGGACCATAATAAAAATTCAAACTAAGCGCCTTGGGATTCCCAGGTGAGAGAGTAACTTTGCTTAGGGAAGCTGGAGAAGCTTTTATACAGAAGGCAGAATTTGAGCTAATTTTGGAAGAATGAATCAAGATTTTCCAAACAGAGAAGGTTAGAAGTAAAGCATTCTGGACAGAAGAACTAGTAGCATGTGCAAAGACTTAGAAGCATGAAAGGGCCTTTTGGTTTCTGGGAATGGCAAAAAGTTCAATGAGGCTAGAAAATAGAGTACAAAGAGAGCAAAAGATCAGGCTAGAGAAATAAGGTGTGTACCAGTTATCTATTGCTTCGTAACCACCCAAAAACTTAGTAACTTAAAGCAACACTCATTTGCTTGTGATTTGCTGTGTTAGCATTTTGGGCTGAGCTCAACTGAGAATTTCTTCTATGGGCCTCACTTGAGGTACTCTTATGGGTACAGTCTTCTAGATATTAGATGGGAGACAACTTGTCCCCATATTGCCATTATCTAACTGGGCTTCCTCACATGGCAACACCATGCACTAAGACCAGGAAGAACCTATAATATGAAAGCAGAACCCCTTGAGGCCTACGCTTGGAATTCACACACTTACTTCTGACATATTCTGTTGGTCAAAATAAGTCATGTGGCCAGGACAGTTTCAAGGGGTAGAAAAACAGATCCCACTTCTTGATGGGAGAAGCAGCAAAGTCACATTGCCAAGGGGCACGTGCACAGTGAGGGAAATTGTTGTAGCTGTCTTTGCAAACAGTCTACCACGGGGTGGAAGCAGATCGTGAAGACTTGCATACAACATAAACAGTTTAGAATGTATCCCAGGGACAACAGAAAGCTATCAGAAGTTTGTTTTTTGGTTTTTCATTTATAGCACTAAGTTTAAAAATAAGATTTTCTCCTCAGCACCCCTTATTTAGGATTCATTCCTCTCCTACAATCCACATGGTTATTGTGGAAGCCATCATACTGGCAGAATGGACTACCTTTTGGTGAGTTGTTTGAATTAGGAGTGAGCCAATTGGAATCCTTCTTTTGGATTGTTTTTCTACTGAAAATGAGAGTTGGACTCTTGCTAAAAACCTGAAGCTTTAAGATGTAAACCTTGGGGGAGTATTAGGTAACTATGTTTGCAGCTGTATGAAAAAAGCCAGTCTGTACAGAGAAGCAGAGATGAGAAATAGAGAGTCCTGATGGCCTTGGAGTCCACTAAGTCTGACATCCCTCTCTGCCTAGGCTTGTTCAAGTTTAGTCTATCTCTTGCAACCAAAGGAGTCCCAACTAATATAAAAAGAGGTTAATACCTGCAAGTGGGGAGTTGCAAGTGACAACATAAAAATCCAGAGTCAGCTGAGTTTGAGTATAATGGTTATTGGGAAATTATTTTAACTGGTTATTGCTGGTATATAAGAAAGCTGTTCTTATATTTTGTGTACAACCACCCTACTCTGATAGCTTTTCAGCTGAATCTTTTGGAGTTTCCTAGACCAACAATCAGATTATCAGAAAACAATTGTATTTTGTATTTTCTTTCCTATTATATAGGAAAGAAATTTCTTTTTCTTGTCTTATATGGTTGGCTATGCTCTCCAGAACAGTGTTTTATATATATAATAACAATGATATTCAGTATGCTTATCATGTTCCTGACTTTATAAGAAAGATTCAAATGTTTTCATTGTGGATATAATTTTTATAGTTCTTGCCTGTACAATACTCTTCATCATAGTAAGAGGATCTTTTTTCTTCTAATCTAAATTTAATTTGTATTTTTAAAATTTTGAAATGGCTGTCATATTTTTTCAAATATTTTTTCAGTATCAAGTTCATATTACTTTTCTTCTAAATGTATGAATGTCAATTATATTAAAATATTTATTTATTAAGATCAAATAATTTTTATACTCTACAATAATCCCCACTTGTTTTGATTCAGTATTGCTATACTGCCATCCTGAATTTTAGCTGATGATACAGGCATTCCCTGTTTTGCAAGGTCCCATGTGAACTGGAACTTGTGCATAATACCTTGCTTCGCATGGTATTAATGTGCACAAATTTTATTTAATATAGTGAAATACAAAATGAAAATTGTCTCTATATTATTTGGGAAAGTTTACATTTATATTCATATACTTTGGTTTTGGTGCAATGTTGGTCAAATTTGCATTAGAAAAAAATGTCTTTTTCCTATGCCCTAAAACTGTTTAAATACAAAAGAAAAGCTGAATTGACTCCATAAAGCCATCTCTTTAGGAACAACATACATCTTTGACAATTATTTCACTCTTTTCTCTTGTTTATGCTAGTCAGATCTTCTACCTCTTATTGAACCAACTTTGGTAATTCATATTTTGCTAGAAAATTATTCAGGTTATCTAGATTTTTAAATTAACACTCATAAATTATATGATTTTTTATATTACTTAATCTCTTCCTTTTCTATAGTCTTTCTTATTCCTAATATTGTTTAAATGTATACATACCTTCTTTCCTTCCTTTTCTCTCTTTTTCTGAAGTTACACCTGCTAGAAGTTTGTCAACTCTATATGTATTTTCAAAGATTACATATTTTTATCTACCCCAAATTATATCTTTTCTAGTCTATTAAATATTTTTATTGATTCATTCTACTATTTTTTAATTTGGTTTACTTTTTCTAGCTTTTTGAATTTAATAATCAGTTTGCTTATTCTGAATAAAGTTTTCTAACAAACTCATTCAAGACTATGATGTTATTGAAATATATTTTGCAATATCTCACACATTTTGATATGTAATGTTTTCCCTTTGGCCAATTCTTAATCTCGAATTCAGCTTTTATTTTTCTCTTTGACTTGGGGCTATTAGAAGAATGAATGTTACCTGTTCAGTTTTTACTCAATAAAAATTTTTTTCACCGAGACTTTTTTATTGTCCTAGAATGTATATTCAGCCTGAACAGACTGTGAGCAAGGTCTAGTTTGCTCTTTGTAGCTCCGTCTTGAAAATAAAGCTTTCTTAACAAGCCAAGCTTCTTTCTCTTCCTGCCATACCGAAATAAGGAGCTCTGTCAGTATAGTCATTAAGTGTTTCATTTCTTTTTAACAAATAATTGACATTGAAAACCTATGGGTCATTAAGCCAGAGATATTTCAGGACCTATTCAGATAAATTTAAGTGACAAATCAAGGAGCGTTAACTTGCCATGCACAGTGGAGACGTTAGTTGTCTTTCCCTGGAGCACTGTTTAGTAACAGCAGGACCAAACAGTGTGTGCATATGTCAAGGAAATAAATGCTGAAGTGATTCAGAGTTTAAGTTTAGTTCAGGAATCCTTCAGAGAGTATGGTTGGATTTTATTGAAGGGGAGGGAAGCAAATGATTTGCAAGCAAAGAAAAGGCCTTCCAAAGAGGAACAGTGAAAATTACAAAAGGCCAAAAATAATATATGTGTGTGTGTGTGTGTTTGTGTGTGTGTGTTCATTACTATTTGCAAACCCTTTCACAGTCCACTACTTTAAGCATTACAACAATCCTTTGAGAAGATATTGGTGATTATGTCCTGTTTTGCAAATTGAAGCATAGAGGTTTAAGAGATCAGGTGGAGCAAGTGTGGAAGATCTTCCAGCTTGAAATTTGCTGTTCTTTCCCCTAAATCATGCTAAGGGGTCAACTCTTTAGAGGCCACAACATGTCCACAATACAGCCCCAGGTGAGGATAGGAGAAGAAAGGAGGGGTCTGGCTAGGCGGGTGTCCTCAAGTATGTAACCTCAGTGTTTGTCTCATTTGAGATCCCTGCAGTGAAGTTGAACGAGCTGCTCGAGAACTTTTATGTCACCGTTAAGAAGAGTGACGGCTCAGACTTCCTGGCCACCTCACTCCATGCCATTCGCCGAGGCCTGGACCGCATCCTGAAGAATGCAGGTGTGGGCTTTTCCATCACCAGCAGCACCTTCAGCTCTTCCACCAAGAAACTCAAGGAAAAGCTGTGGGTGCTGAGTAAGGCAGGCATGTCGGGTGCCCGTTCGCGCAACATCGTCTACTTCTCCATTTCTGATGAGGAGGAGATGTGGCAGGCAGGGTGTCTGGGGGATGACAGCCCTATCACCCTCTTGTCCACTGTGGTCAAGTACAACAGCCAGTACCTGAACATGCGGACACTGCAGGAGCACGCAGATCTGATGTATGGTGACATCGAGCTGCTCAAAGACCCACAAAACCAGCCCTACTTTGCCCGGACAGACAGTGTCAAGCGGGAGAGTCGGAGTGGTTCCACCCGAGTGTGTCATGGGAAAATCTACCACGAGCATTCCAGGGGACACAAACAGTGCCCTTACTGCCTCCTCTACAAGTACATGTACATCCATCGGCCACCCACCCAAATGGAGGCCAAGTCCCCCTTCTACCTTACTGCCAGGAAGGAGGCTGCAGACATGGGCAGTGTGTGGTATGAGGAGCAGAGGATGGGACTGCGGTCTCTTCGGGGAATTGTCCCAAACTTAGCCAAGAAGGTCAAGCTGGAAAACTGTGAGAACTTTACTTTCGTCTCGTTTACTCAGGTCTCCAGGAGGCTTGGCTCCCACAGCTGCTGCCAGTGAGCCCAGCCCGGGTGCAGCCCCCTGCCCTGCTCATCCTCTTAGGCCAGAGCTCCCCCAGGCAGCCAGGGCCGGAGTCAGCAGTCACCGGAGCTCTGAGAGGCAGGGGCTGACTGAGCAGGACTTCACTGTCAGGGTGGTCTCCATCAGTGTGGCCCATCAGTGTGGCCCGCTAGTCCTTTGACTTTGGGTTTGTTTTTTAAATGAAAGTAGGTGAGTCTGAATAATTCAGATGTTTTATCCAAATATGTGTCACCTTTGTTAACTTTTAGAATCTAACACAATGTGTAATTGCTACATACAAGAGTGAGGAAATTCATTTTATCTAGTGCCTTTTTAGCACAGGTTTTCTCAAAAAAAAAGAAAAGAAAAAAAACAAAACAAAAAAGGAAACTGTTTAAGTAGTCACTAAAAAAAACCCAGTAGCCCAGTAGCTTTAGAATGTTATGAAGACTATACACTTTGTCGAATTACACTCACAGTTAAGAACTAGAAAGAGAGAGGCAGACGTGTTAATTATCTCCAGGAGAAAAATTGCACTTGACATTCCTTTATATTTTGCTGGTGGATAACTGGGAGCAAGCAGCCTCGCTGCAGGGAAGAGCCCAGAGCTATACTTGGTCACCTGACAGGGCTGCTCCTCCAGCTCTCTGCAGTGGAAGGAACTCCATCTCAACTGTCAATGGAGACAATTTCATGAAAAAAAAAAATTAATGCACCAGAAGGGTGTTTGTGAGAACAAGGTTTCCAATGACTAGATGGTTTGTAACGTGAGAGAATTTCCAGTAGTGAAAGAAAGTGGCTTGGAAAAGCCATCTGTGATCAAAATGTGAAAACCTCCTGAAGCAGAAGTGCCTATGTTTTATTTCTCAGCACCACATGAGAGCTCTTTTCATTTGAACATTTTTTTAGCGTTTTTAATCTGTTTTTCATGTCACAGTTCTGTCAGCATATAGCACTGGATCTATTAAAACAACTAAAGGTAATTGTCAGGCTTAACCAAGAAAATCCAACAAAACAAGCTGCAATGAAAACAAATCCCAAAATACATTTATTAAAGAGCTTTGAAATATTCTTGTCAAAGCATGACTTTTTCAGCCACAATAGATGTCATCATTTTAGGTTGGCACCAATGCTTGGACATGATGATTTAGACAACCTACCAGGTAAGCAAACCCAGCATTAAGGATGTAGTTGTAAAGTCAGAGCATAATATAGATTATTAATGCAATTCAAAACCATTTCACTCAGGTAAAATTCAACCTGATCACATTATTTAAACATCAGCAGAATTTTCTAATAACTACTCTGAATGCAACAGTAAGTGAATAAGCAACCCAAAGAGTACAATTAACAATAATAATAATTCCTAGGGATCTTTATTTTGTATTTGAGGAAAAACTGCTACAACTTTATGCCATTATGTTCCTGTTTATGCTTTCTAATCCCAAATTAAAATTCCAATGCAAATTCATTTTGCAGGAGTCTTAGAATCAGTCCTATTTCTTTTTCAAAACATTATTTTAGTATTTATTTTAATTGTTTTTAAGAACATTCACTAGTCATTGAAATACGTAATACTTCCTTTACCAGAGAAGACTCAACCAATGCTGCCTTAAGGTATGATGTTGTTCCCCTTTGAGTTACTGTGCATTGACAATTTTGTTTACTAGTTGATCTTTCCTGAGTAGAGATTAATTTCGGTATATCTTCATCTGTATATAAATAGCAGGTAATATTTAATAATCAATCGTTGTTATGACTTGATATTGTATACTGTTCTGTTGTGGTTTCCTGTAGTGATTTTAGGGCTTTGATGAAAAAGAAATAGATAAAACATTAGATACAGTTTCCTTTAGTTTGCTAAACACCCAAAGGATTTTTTTGTTTGTAGAAAGCAGATGGTCATTTTCTTGTCAGTTCTGCACTTAAACTGAAATATAACCTATGTGAACTATTGGGCAGAACCTGCAGCCTAATTAAATAAAACCTCCACTTTTATTTTAGATTCAAGAAGAAATCGCCATTAGGAATCTTTTCAGATTTTAACATTTCCAGTAGTAGCAATAACTGATCCAGAGTTTGTAACCTTTCTGTTGATAGTGGCTTTTCATCAGCTGAATAACCATCTCCACTTCAGATTTGTTGCCTATCACCTATTTGATGTACTATAAATCCCCAGAGTTCTGAAGTGAATGATTACAATAAAAAAATCAGGAGGGCACATCTCCAGCGATATCTGATGGAATGAAAGAATTGTATCTCAGCATCCTAAATGCCATTCATTACATGCCTCCTTGGGAATGGGAGCAAGAAGGAAAACACTTCCATCAAGTGTTGCCATGTGCCACCCATTGTACTAGGTACTTTCTCTATTATGTATTTGTGTATATGTGTGTGTGCACATACACACACTTTAAATTTATAAGTGTTAAAGCCTGGTGAACTGCTAAAATGGCAAAGCGCCTGTCCGTGTGCATGGCCAAGGCCGTCCCTCGAGGATCTTAAGTGGAGCCAGAGTAGGTAGTTCTCTCGTTGGTGTTCTGCTAGGGCAGTTGTTTTTGGCTTCCAGTCTGCTCTAAACCTTACTTGCTGGGGGCTCCATGATCTTCTGCTCTTGGCCTAAGCCAGAGCAAGGAGAATCACAAGAGAAGGGAGAGGGGAGATGAAGAACATTTTATCTACTTGCCTTTGGGATTTTTGTGCTCTAAAATGGAAATGAATTTCAAGAATTCTCAAGTTCACCTAGGCACCAGTTGCCTCCGGGCTGTGCGTCAGGGATGGTGGTGCCGTGGGTGCTGTGCAAGGGCCCGTGGAGTCCTTTGGGTGAGCTCCTGCCCGCAGCACCTTCTGCATCTGCTCCAAAGTGAGCCCTGCTTTCTTGATACTGACTCCCCGGAATCTAGCAGGTCTCTGTGTTGGAAGTTTACTCTGGCAGAGATGATAGGTGTCAAATTGAATTAAATATAAAGGGTTTATCACAGTACTAGGCACATCATAAGCATGTGATAAATGTTGCCTATCTCAGTTTTAACTTTTGATAATAACTAGTCTGCATTATGCCACTTATTTCTTCCATTATGGAGATTTTTCTCTCCTTTAAAATGTTAAACTTGAAGAGGAAACCAAACCTGATAATCTGGTCAAGTTAACACATTTTCACCCATGAATTCTACCTCCAACATAAGCCCTGATACCTCAGATATAAGCAAAAACAAGTAAAGGAAGAAGAGAAAAGCCTTAAGAGGCTTTATGAGAAAGTTTTTCCATTGTGTAGTGTGTTTGCAAAAAAGAAATATTATGAAAGTACCTAACCAAAGCTGTGAAAAAAAATAGTCTCCTTGGTCATGTGGCATTTTTCCAATTTTCCTTGGATTTTTTTGCTGCATTAGTCTGCCCCGATAAATGGTATTTGAAGAAATGTGAAATTCTGTTACTTTGATTTTTATTTTAAGTCAACCTTATTAAAAGCATCAAGCACTATATAGTGTTCACTCTCTTGGCATGTTCACAGACAGTCATTAGGAGAATCTGGACAAAGTAATACTCATGTAAAAACCGAAGCCTCTTGCCATAATGGAAAGATTCCTAGACTAGGAGCTACTTCACTCCTCACTGGGGCAAATGCTATGTCACTTTCCTCAGCTATAAAGTGGGAGCAATGGAATGGATCATCTCCAAGGTGAACAATGTCATACTTCTGCAGTTATTCAAGGTCACATAATTAGGAAGTGGCAAAACTAGGATGCAAAATTCCTAATTCCTGAAAATCAGATAATTAATCTCCTAATTTAGTGCTTCTAACAACATGGGATGCCTTCTTTAGGAATAAGATTTTTCTTTCCTTTTTTTTTTAACAGAGAAAATTCATATTGATTTCCGTTTTCCCAAGACAAGATACCATTCTTGAATTTTCAAGTTCCACAGCTTCTGAAATTATTTTGCTACCTCTAGGCAGCAGAATATTGGTTATTTTTCTCAGCTTAGGTTAACACTAGCCACGCTGTTATTATTTAAGTAAAGTAAAAAGAATGTTTAAATATTATCCTTATCAAACATGCATCACTTTGTTGCTTTTATGAGATATGAATTGCTAAAAAATTTTGAGCTAGTAACCAGTTAGTTACCTTTAAGCATCAATGAATGCAAACAACAAAGACCTCCAAGAAGAGTTACCTCATTTTCTCTACATGATCTAAGTTAAGTCTAAGACCCATACACATAGTTAGCAACTGTTAACAGTGAGCTCTGAACAGAATACATTCAAAGTTTCAAATCTATATACACCTTTAAATGCTTTTGCCTTTGGGGTGAATTTTTAATGATCTGTGTTAAAAGAAAAGCATTCCATTGTTTAGCAATGTTCTTAAGTAAAGATCTTTGTTGCACTTTCCCATATAAATGAATCACCTTAATTAAAACAGGAGTGGGGAGGCAAACAGGATGGGGAGGGATTGGCGTGACCTACAGCTGTGTTCCCTTTCCCAGAGAGGAGGAGGCTGTGGGGGGATAATTAAACCAACATCTCTGGAAATTCCTACTTCTGAATGTGTATTCTTACATCAGAGGATTTCCCAAAACTCCTTTGAGGGAAGCCGCCCATCCTTCAGACAAAGTTTATCCATTATTTTTATGATTTTGAGTACTTCTAGTTCATTGCAGTCCAAGAAATCCAGAGATTTCCCTGTTTAGTTGTTGATCAGAATCAGATTGTTACGCTCAATTAAAGTGCTTAATTATTTATCTAAGGCAGTTCATATGGAAATTCATTATTTCGGGGAAATACTTAAGACCAAGAAAAAAAATCACTGGATAATATGGAGATACATATTAGTTCCATTACTGTTAATAGTGATTAGATAGATCTCCCTCCCCCCCCTGTTGAGATGGGAATGGGCTCCTAATTACATTATGGTCAATATAACTGATTGGATTAATTTGCGTTTAACTGTGGTTATTGTTACATCTACTGATTTGTTCAAGTAAAAGTTTCTAGAAGGTTCAGATTTGACTGACACAGTGTTAAGTGCTTTCTCAAAGCTGCCTCACGTTCTCATTTAATTTTTGCAACAGCTCTGCAAGGTCTAATTATTCCCATTTTACGTGTTGAGAAACCAGGCTCTGAGAAGTTAATTAAATTTTCCAGTGTCTCACAGAGCTAGTGAGTTGGAGTATTTAAGTTTGAACACAGGTCTTCTGACTCAAAATCCAGTACTCAGTCCGTTAGACAACACTGCCTCAGAGGTCCATTTAACCTTTTTTTTTTTTTGGAGACAGAATCCCTGTGGCCCAGGTTGGAGTGCAGTGGCCTCATCACAGCTCATTGCAATCTCAAACTCCTGGGTCAAGCGATCCTCCTGCCTCAGCCTCCTGAGTAGTTGTGACTACAGCCACACACCACCATGCC